GGGAGGGAGGAGGCATGTTTGGAGTACCTTTTTTTTTTTTTTTTTAAATTCTAAAAGAGATCCTTACTTTGGGTCTCCACTTAACTGGGCAGATTTTTGTAAGTGCAATTGGGACTCATCTATTTAGGCAGAATATCAGTCTGTATAGAATGCAGTTTTCATCTTGCAGTTACACACCTAAGATTTGCTGCAAAAAAAAATATTAATCTGTTCTTTACACTAGGTCTGTTAAACCTGTTTTAATTGTCTCATTTTTTTTAGGTTGTTGAGATCAGTGATTCTGAAGAAACACAAGCTTTAGCACTTCAACTTATACTGTCTTTAACAAAATACAATCAACAGAGAATACAAGAGATGGAAAACTGCAATGGATATTCCATGATTCATCAGGTGTTGACCAAACCTAAGTGTATTGTTGGATTTCGCATTTTGAAGGTAAATGTTAAAAACTTTTGTCTGACTTTTTTAATTTGTCACACATTAGGAAGCTTATCTATAGCCCTGCGTTTCAAGACTTATTTGGGGATGAAGATCACTAATTATAGGTTAATGCAGGAAGTTTTGTGTTTTAATCTAGAAGCTATGGGAGTGGGTAAAAGGATATGGTATTTCCAAGCAGATCTCAATTTGAGGGGGAAGGCAGAAAAAATTTGCAAATTTTAATTTTTCTATCAAAACCATTCTTGATAGTTAGTCTTGCTTAGCACTAAGCTTAAATTGAGGGACAGTGTTATCACTGAAACTTAAACCTAAAGTCATAAATGGAAACAGTCTTCCAGAGTAGGCTGAACTAACATTCTCTGAACATCATCACAGTGTATGCTAAAGGGCATATTGAGAACTGGTAAGGAAAGAATTGGCTAAATTGTCAAGGTAAAAACAGAAGCTGTTACCTGTCATGTATTCCATTTACTGCTTATGAAAGTTGCATGTATCCTGACAGCATTTCTACTGGGACACTTTAGGATGCAAATGTTTAAAGGTACCTTGTAGTCGCAATTCTTGATAAACTGATACAATACCCTTGCTTAGAAATTGCACTGCATATATTGGGGAATAACTGCAGTGTTTCTAAGATGTACAGCTATCGGTTCTGAGAACAGAATCCCTGGGGCTGCCTTTGGAAACTTAACCCTCAACCTATGCTTAAGAATTATTTGAAATGTGCAGTATGACTTGTTCATTCTGCAACAAAATTGGACAATAGTCATCAAATTATACAGAAAGACTTGAATCTACATTTTATAAACAGGGTTTTCAACAGTACCAGAGTTGGGTGGCTAACATGAAAGGGCACAGGTTGCTGGTTTTTAGAAATTTGTGTGTGCCCAGTTTCTGTGGGTGGGTACGTAAGATTTCTAATTACTCTGAAAGTACAAAACAAAACCGCTTCAAGCTTAGAAAAAGCTCTGTGAGCTTTGAGTCCTAAAATGCTTTTTCTAGAGAGAATAAAGATGTTGGTGTGTCTTTAGAGATCATTATTCCAGGAAAGATGTAGATTCATTCCTTTGTCAAGGAATCTGTTTGGCTGATTTACCATGCCCAGTACCGGTGCCCTTATTCATGCTGAACTGTTCTGGGTAGGCTGTCTTCTATGCTGGAAGCAATGTAGCCACATCCATATGGTGCCTTCAGCTAATTGGTACTGCTGAGTGACAGCCAGTTAGCCCAGCACAATGCTAATAAGTCTTCACATGATGCACATGGCTAAAGCTATGCGGCTTCTGTGTTGCTGCAGGCAGACTTAAATCAATGGATTTTGAGGGCACAAGAAGTTTAACTACTAGGCTTTGCTTTTCCTGTTTTTAAGACACTCCTTGAAGGATGCTACAGTGATGAGATTCTCCATATAAATGAGAGTGGACAATTCATGCTCGATGTAGATTCCAATGCGGTAATCCAAGATGTCAAATTGCTAGAAAAACTGTTGCTTGATTGGAAGATATGGTCTAAAGCACAGGTATTTGCTGTCTTGTGTGAATAGTTTAGATATTAAGGAAGTTGATGAAAAGGAAAAACAAATGGTACATCCTTCACTTTGGTTATATTTGACAATTTAAAGTAGCTTTGCAAACCTAATATAGTTGTAAAAGGAGTCTTACAAGTGTAAAATTATAAGGTACTTATTCAGCCTGCTGTTTACATGCAAGCTACTTTTGTTAGCTTAAATGGATTTAATTTTCTTTAGTCTTACTTGCATGTAATCAATGAAGTTTAAAAAGCATCCTGATTTGGTTATTACATCTCAGTACCTTAGTACGCTATGCTGTTAATATTCAATGTAGTACAGGGGTCAGCAATATCTTCTGGCAGAGGGGCTGGAATGACCTGGCTCCTGTAGGAGGCAGGCAGGTAGGACCTTGCTGCTGCCACTTCTCCCTGCTGCTCAGTGCTGAAGCCACATCTCTGAGTTGACTGTAGGTTGCCAAGCCCTGATGTAAAATACAAAATCTGTTTAGAAGTTTTGTTTGCTGTACACTTTTTTTCTATTTTCTTTCAGCAAGGTGTTTGGGAAACCTTGTTAGTAACTCTAGAAATCCTTATTAGAGCTGATCATCACCAACAGATGTTTAACATCAGACAACTATTGAAAGCTCAAGTGGTACACCGATTCCTGCTGATGTGTCAAGTTCTGCAGGTACTTTCAGTTTCAACGCTTACCTTCTGCTTGGCATCTTTTCAGTTCAGACTAGAAATTTTTGACAGTTGTTCACAGCTTGTAGTCTTGATACCTTAGATTGTTTTCGTCCCATTGTGTCCACACCCTCTGCCTATGCCTCCTCAGACATTGGAGGATCATGGTAGTAGAAGGGATCAAAGGAGTTTGGAAGTTGCCTATATGCTCAGTTGTAGTACTGTCAAGAAAGAGCAAAAGATGAACTCTCACACCTACAATCAAAAACATTGCCACTAGATATTTAGGCTGTTTTAGAATGGTTCTAGAATGTATATATGTGCAGGAGTAATTTTTTTTATCCTTCTCCAATAGACATTTGTTTTATCTTTATGCTCATATTGCCATTAATATAAAGCACAAGTAGATTTGTAGTATTTTTGTATCCTCTGACTTTTTTTTTTTTTATTTATTAGTCTTCAGAGATTAATGATTCTATACTTGCAACACTCACCTTTTTTGTTTGTGTGATTTCCCAAAAATGTTCAGTGGCACAAATTAAATCATGCCACTTCAAAAGCAGGTTCTATATTCCTATTGTGTTATCTTTTTTTATGACCTTTTAATCATCTGAATAAATATGACGTTTCTTTAAAATAAAGTTTGGTTTTATTTCATAATATGAAGGCATATACTTCTGTAAACCATAGTTGTATGAGTTCTTAATTATAAGTATTACTCCTATTCTTATTATGGCTCTCTTCTCATTTCCCCTAATCTATTTTTTTTCCATGTTATGCTTTTTAACTTACTTGCTCCTTATCAAATTGCCCTGGAAATGCTGACTGTTCCTTGAACTACTTTATGTTGCTT